TAACCTGAGCGGACACTGAACAGAGAAAAAGTAGTTGTCATCATTTATGATGAGAATACTATCTTAATCTACGGCTATGCCTCCTGTCTATCATGATGCTAAAATAAAAAATACTGAAAAGGAACTGCCAGGAGCATCATTGCCATTGAACACAGAGATCCAAACCACGTCATGATAGTCCCGATGCTGCTGTGTTCTAAGAGGGGCTTCACAGAACTGAACCTAGTGGCTTCCCAGTCAAACAACGTTCTTTACTTAGGAGGAAACCCAGAACTATATAGGTTAAAACACTTGTTTCATTCTTTGAAAAAAGAGCTCTTAATCTTGTGTTATTTCCACATAGGTCACTTAAGTAAACAGTAATATTTAAAATAGAAATTTCTGTGAAACCTTTTGATAGTTACAGGAATATCAACACGTAGAATGAATATCTAATATGCAGTAAAGCTAGGGATATCACTTACTGGTAGATCACTGAGTTAAACATCCATTACTGGAAAGAAAAAAGCAATGAAAATCAGCTAGAGAACTCGGAAGAGGAATCTATTGTCTAGCCTAGTAGATGCACAATGTATATTCATTGAAGAAATGAATGGGGCAAAACAACTAGCACTAATTGTAAAGATGTTACTGTTATATGAGATAATCATAAAGTTATCTCCCTTAGTAAAGGCTCACAACTCAAAAGTTGTCACTTCAGAGAAGTGTTTTTCTTCTGCAATTAAAACCAATGGAAAATTCTCTAAGCAGTGAAATACTGAAGATATAGGGTACTCAAGAGATTAACAGATGCAAACCATATGTGACTACTTAAGAAAGTACATTCTCGGCAAATGGGAAGTCCCCTGACGTCCCTGCAGACTCAAGCAAGTCCTATTTCCCAAGTCTCTTTATTTTGGATTTTCTCCTGAAGTAAATGTTTCTCTTCCCTGTAAAATTCAACAGCATGGACTACAAAGCCAGGATTTCAGAGAACTCTTAAGTTGTTTGGAAGGAATTAACCTTCTCCAGTATGTCACCTTTAAATAGGACATTTCATCAAATTCTGCCACAGCAAAATGGGGTAGGGAGCAACATTTCCTCTAGAAGTTGGGCTAGCATTGAGGTAGAATCGACCAGGCTGCATGCTGCATTTTTAGATAACCAGGTTCTTGGGGGAACAAAGTGTGGTAAAAGTTTAATGGGTCCTCATCGACTCTCTCAGGCCTCTTATATTTCACTGTATTCAGAGGGGAATCACGCAAAAGTTCATCAGAAGAACTAATTTCCCAGCCATGTCTGTCTCTTCAGGCCTTTGTTGTTTGGCAAACTGAGTGTGATGATCTGTCTGTGGCTTCAGGTCACCTGAGTATTTAGGAAGCTGTTCTGTTTACAGCTCTCCAAATGTCTCCTGTTTTCAGAGGCTACATTATCCTGGCCCTTTGACATGTTGGAAGGACAGAGATGTTTCGAAATGGCTCTCAGAGCATATCTACTTTGATTGAGAAATTGCTAAGTAAACACAGAAAGTCCAAGATTTTCTTTAACAATTGCTCCCCGTGTTAACACAAGCCAAAATAAGACTCACCTGGCTCACTTTTGCCTATAATTTCATTCAATAATTTTTTAATATGCAAAAAAATGTTTATTAAGGCAGTTCAAAGAAACCATGAGGCATTAAGTTAAATGGAGGGTGAACATTTTAATTTACTGATTAAAAATTAAAGTTTACTTAGAGAATTTTGTAATATTTTGTAATAATTTATCATATATAATACATATTATTTATATAGTTCAAATATCCTTATACAAAAATGATTCTAAAAGAATACCTCATAAAGTATATGCACTTTTTAGAGTTTTTTAAAAAGCTATCCCTTTTGTTCAGATAACATAAAAACTAAGCTTTTACCAAGACTTTCCTAAATTATCATGAAAGATATAAATAAAATTTTAAAAATACTGAGGGCAATAAGGCCCTGGTTTTACAGATCAACTTTGATCCATATTTAAGGATCTCAGTTTCACATATTATCTCTTTGATATTCTTCTGTCTTTTCATTATTGCCATTTTCTAGAAACTTCTCCATCTAGTAGTCATTTTTTCTCCCCTCGTAGCCCATGTTCTATATTGTTCTGGTTCTGTATAGAGGCTTCAGAATCACTTGAGGCTTAGTAAGACCCAGCTGGCTTGGCTGCAGCACACTATTTCTACTTCAGCAGGTCTGGAGACCCTGCTGAATTCACACTTGGAGCTGGGCCCCTGGCTATGGTGATGGTGGTAGTAAATGCCGGTACTGCAGATGCAAGGCTAGCATTTTAAGAACATAGATCCTCTGAATTTCTGGTTATTTCAATGTTTTCAGTTTGCCATTTAATACAAGGAAAGTCAGAGAAAACCTTGATTTTAGCTCTTCTCTTTCAGTTTCAATTAACTAAAATAATCAAGCTTTCATTCATTTATTGTTTATTTATTTTGCATCTAAGGAATGTCATAATCCAGTACAGCTGTAATAGCTATTTTTAGAGGAAAGGCAGGTTTCTTCACTCCATTTATAAAGAAGCTGTCTCCTACCAAGGCTTGTGTGCTGGGACCCAAAGGACATGGAAGAAGAGTCCTGTGAGGAGCTGTCCCTGAACAAATTAGCATGAGACAGTGAGAAATGAGTGGGGTTTTTGGTCATGTAATTTAACTTTTGTACATTCGGAATATGAGGCTCTGGTTTCCATGATAGGTACAGAATGCTACATGGAGCCTGTTGGAATCACTGGAACTATTCCTCTTAGAGTCATTGCTCATAGTCATTTTGTCTTATTAGAAATAGATTGACAACTTCAAGACATTAGGCTACCTATTGAAGCAAAAAGAGCATGAAGTTGTCAGGATTGGACTGACATTGGTGGAGCTGGAGTTAGCGTTAACAGAACATCTAAAGCCCCAGCCATGTGTATAACATGAATCTTAAATGGTCTTACTGATAAAAAACTCAGATGAGATCGGGCATGTTCAGGGTGGTATGGCCGTTCCAAATATGTTAATTATATTTTTACATACTAACCTGCCATGACCTATTTAAAACAGATGATAACTGAACTACATGCCTTGTTATTGCTTACTATTGGGCCATCCTGTTGAACACCACAGAGTTGTAGGTCATTGCATGATTTCTAGGTTTGTGAAAGGAAAAGCATTGTGGGAGTTGAGGTGCTTGGCATCATCACTCAAAAGAGAATTAGAAAAAATTGTATTGTAAGTATACGTAAAAATATAATAATTAAACAAATATACAGTAATATAGTAAATGTATAACTAGTGACTAATATATAAATATTTCAGTAGAGAGATTTTTCACATCACGCTGACTTCTTTCAGTAATTAACAATAAGGGTAACCTGGGGAGACACTAAATTGTTTTAGGTTTTGTGTTATGTCCATGAATTGCTTAATAAAAGTAACTGAAGACTGAGTCTTATATGGGGATATATACAGTCTTTTATATCTTAATTAGGATGAATGAATTACAATTCTAATGTCAGACTTTGTTGACTCCCCAAAGGAGGCCTTACCCTTTGAGGGGTGGGGAGGTGGAGGTGGGGGACAGGAGAAGGGGAAGGAGGGGGAACTGGGATTGGTATAGAAAAGGAAAAAAATCCTTTTTTTCAAAATAAAAAAAGAATAAATCTCAGACTACAAAAAAAATTAAAATACTCAGGAGCCAGGTATTGGGGTGAATGCTGAAAGATCAGAGAAGGAGAACAAGCCACAGCTAATCTCACCTCACCAATTCCTCAGCTGATTCTGTTTCCTCAGACTGGAAGCCTCTGAGTCTTCATCTAAATTGATCTCAGCTGAACTCCTGCTAAAAGCCTAAAAGCTTAAAGCCTCTAGTTCCTGGTCCTCATGCCTTAAATACCTTTGTGCTTTCTGCCATTAAAGGTGTGTGTCACCATGCCTGACTGTTTCCAGTGTGGCCTTGAACTCAGAGATCCAGATGGATCTCTGCCTCCCAAGTGAATAGGATTAAAGGTGTGTGTGCCACCATTTTCTGGCCTCTATCTCTCTCTAGTGGCTGTTCTGTTCTCTGACTCCAGATAAGTTTATTAGGGTACACAATATCTTGGGGGACATAATATCACCACATTTCCCCTTTTTGTCTAAAATAATAAAAGAAGCTTATAACTAATATAAGAAAAACTAAATCCAATAAGTATATACAATACAATATGTACAGTCAAGAATTACTTTAACAATGTCTAGTCCATTAACATTTGACAAATTCAGACAAAAAAATTATTATCCTGTTTTGGTGAGTCTAATACAAAATTTGTATACAATATACAAAAATCCAATCCAATGTAAAATATTTAAAACAAGTAGTTCCTTTTAAAAAGTAGATTCAATAATCTACCCATTTATCCTATTTTTTTAGAGTAGATTCAATAATCTACCTCTTATCTATATCTTCTTTTTTTATTTTTATTTTTAAAATAAGAACCCTGAATCTAATCTCCTTTGTTTAGCTTTTTTTTGACCATTAACAATTAACAATTTGTAACCAACCATCATAAACAATGACAATATCCATAACTCATTAAATGACCAAAAACTACCCACCCAACTCCTTGGGAATGTGGGTGTCATTTTCTTAAAATTATTTCCTGCTGTCTGGGGGTGAAGGCATCTTTAGGGAATCCTGAAAAGAAAACTTTTGGGTTAATTGTCAGGTCCTGAGAGAGTTAACTGTATCATTTGTCCAGTACCTGCATAATGGGAAAGTGCAGGGCTTGTCTCAAGTCCTTGCTCGAGTAGTCTGTCAGGCTGGATCATTTCAGCTAGCTGTCTCAAAATTGTCCTGAGTAGTTTATAGTCCAAAGCAGATCTTTCAGTGATGTTAATCAGCTTAAGGGCTTTATCACAGTCCATGTGAAATCATCGTTGTGGGATCCTGTCATCTTTTGGAGACTTCAAATTCACTGTTAGGCGTGGTCATGGTTCCCTGCAGATTTTTTTGTGTGCCTCCTCAGTAGTTTGGAGCAATAGCAATTATATCTGTGGTAGAATTGTGTCTCACAGCCAGTCCCAAGTCTGCAATACAACACGTTCCATTCATCTTCCCCAAGTTATTCTTTGATTTCAAATCTCTGCGAGCAATAGCTGACTTTCCTTGGGTACCAACCATCTCCATGTGAAGATGGGCAAGACCGCTTGCTGTGGACAGAGTGAGTGTGATCATCCTTTCCACTGTAACAGTGTATCTATTCAAGTCATCAAAGAGGGATCCATGCTCATGGTAATCCGGCACCAGCCACAGCCGAGTCCATATGCCATTGTCTTTGTTATCTGCTGCTACAAATCCTAGGATGTTTTCATGGTGTAACATCACAGTCTGATAAGTCTCTGTCTCTCTGAACCACGAATGTTCTTCCATAGAAGAGAATATCTTCATAGCAACTTCTCCCCACCATTTTCCTAGCCAAAGTTCTCCAAACTGACCTTTGTCAATGCTTTCTTGTAACATGACGGTCCTGGCAATTGTTCTCTGAATAAGCAGAGGTAAACCCTTCATCCCCAGTAGCAGCATCACTGCCACCACCATGATGAGAAACAGCTGGCAACACACAGAGCCACCTCCATGGTCCTGCTGCCACCGTTTGTGGCCTTCCCCCGGCCGCAGCTTCTCCTCAGCAAGTCTTCCAGGCTGGCCTCAAACTCAGAATCCTTCTGCCTCTGCCTTCTTCAGCAAATCCTACCTGAGTACACCACCACAACGGGCTGTGTGCAGCTCAAGCCTGAGCTGGGGACTGCAAGGCCACAGGCAAGTAGCTTTTCCAAGAATTTGAACCTGACAAGTTGGATGGCAGGTCTTGTTTGTGTTCACATTGATAGGCCTCTTGGATTCTGAATTTACAGCCTATCTTAAAGTGTGTACAAGCAGATCTTATTTTTAAAAAGTATTTTATTTGACTCAGTTAACTGAAGATATGTCCCATACCAGGCATGGCTCCTGCAACCTGGAAATTAAGTAAGTATAGGTATAGTAGGGTAATATCAAACCTTATGGTTGGAGCTACACGGGGAAAATGGATTTCATCACAGCCTGTAACAAGTTTCTTGGGCTGAGGACATTTAAAAAAAAACTGAACTCTGAAGTGCATAATCCTTTCCCTATCAGCTGGGTCTCTAGCAAATGCTTTCTAGCTATTCACTTCATCATACAGTGAAGTAACTCCATTGGAATAGAGACCACTTTGTCTGTCGCAGGCATTGAAGTGTTTTTTTTTTTTCTATGAAACACCTTGTCACGAAAGGTTAATATCTTGAGTTTCTGTGGATGACCACAGACTGTCAAAGAGGCAAAGGGGGGACCATAATGCTTGGAAAGACAGCAGTTCTGATAAAGAGAATCAATAAAAATGGACAGTTCCTTCTTCCACCCCACATTGCCAAATTGTCAGCTGTATTCTCCATATACTGCTCTTTAAACGCATTAATTATCACTGTGTTGACTGATATTTATGCCCTGTAAACAGGTCTGGTATTCTTTGCAAACACACTGCAAAGCACCCCTTGGGTTCTAATGCATTGCTGTTCCTTGCTGAACATTTGCTCTTGGCAAACCACAGACATGGCCATTTTCCTTGTAGCCTTCTCCTGTGAATGACAGCAATAAAGACATACAGCTCTCAGGGAAAATAAATGAGCGTGCCTTTCCTTCATCCAGTACTGTTCCACTTTACTGGACAAATTATGTCCCTCTGTTGCCCCTTTGAGAGAGTCTTAATGTCACCCAGGAAGGGAAAATCTTTGGACTTATTTATCCCTCTCATTAACGTTGGATCTGCAAGGCATGTGTTCACTTTTGCCACCATTTCAGTCCTCAGCAGAGGGATCCAGTTCTACTACCCATGCCACCGTGATGAGGTTTCTTCCGTGCCAAGGCACCAGAAGCCGATGCTGTACTGATCACAAGTGACTTGAAAGTGGAAGTGCAGGGGGATGCTAACACATCCACATTTGTTAACGGGGATCTACTTGTGCTGGATGAGAGGAGCCTAATCCCATGGACGTATGCTTTCAATTTTTCACTGAAATTACAATCAAACAAATTGCCAGGGCACATTTTTCTCTGTCAGATGTTTCCCTTATGGTGGATTTGGAGTACCTTTGGGCCGGCTTTTGAACCTCACCCTCTGCCAGTGTTGCCACAGACTTCTCTTCAGTTTCAAATTAATTTCATCTTTTTCCCCAAGAAGTGGATACATTTGATATACAGTAGTACCTGGAGGAAAATGTCCCTTCCACACTGACTTGGTGCAGGACCGTGATGGAAAGGATGACATGTTACTGGCTCCTCTTCAGCTCTCTGTAGGGAACCCAGTATGATAAAAATCACAAAAGCCAAGAGCCTGCAATGTCCTGATTTTCTAGCACTTATTAAAATCGTATTTATCAAGGTTGACTCTTGGCTGCCGCTTGAACTGGCTCTCTGGAAGGAATGGCTTTTAGACGCTGCTTTGGGAGCAAGGGACCCTATGAACACTGCTGGACAAAGTAGTATTGGAAACGGCTGCACTGTTTTTAGACTCACGAAACCACAAGCTCCTCAGGAGAGCTGATCCCAGCCTGGAAATTATTCCCACCCCCTTCCCTTTCAGCAGGCTGTGTCAGGGAGAGCAAGCAAACAGTAATAAAGACCAGTTGTTTTGATGTCTGGTTCCACTGCCATGTCCCTAATGGGTGAGAATCTACATCAAAGAGGTTGTGATGACCCCAGGAATTGACTGTGTTTTTGTTTTCAGAACATCTCCAAGCAAAGGTGTGATGGAATTGATTTGGCCTAAAGCTCAGGTCATGTGACTCTTCTGGAAACTGTCAAATGTTACTCTCTGGGCCAAACCATGCCTTTGCAGGTGCTGTTTTCCAGAGCGACTGTCTCTCCCAAAGTGACCATATCTGCTATGGTTGGAGGAGAGGGGAATCCCACAATAAAAAATAGTTTAGTTACTATTAATTCTGCCAGTGGTAGGAAGGTTGTTCTGGTAAATACCTCATCATGCATAGAAAATGTTTGAGATGGGCATGAGATAGTAACAGCCATAGACTTTTTAAGAGAGTACTAGAAAAAAACCAAGGCTCAGGCTCTGTCTTAATTCTAGTCCTCATAGAAGTGTGATAGAAGCTAGATAGGCCCCACATCAATATTTCTTCTGTACAAATTCTACTCAGTGACACAAAGCCACTGAATCTCAGGAATGGAAGAATCCCCAGAATTTCAGTAACTCTACTTGTTTAGTGCTGTTTTGTGGACCAAGGGAATAGTCTTGATTTTTGCATTTCTTTTCCCCTGACTACTACTATACCACCAAATGACACTGGAAGGAGAACAGAATGGAAATAACAAAGATGAAAACACTTGATCTTTTGCTGACAAGCTCTTCACTTCGCAGAGAAGTTCACTCTGTCCCATGTAGGTATCAAGAATCGTTTCTTTCAAACACTGGAGCAGATGGTGGGGAGACAAATATAAAAGACGTAGGTCTTTGTCTGCCTTCAAGGATTTTTTCCTTACTAGTGAGATAGATGAGCAAATATTTAACAGCTTGGATAAAATCTTGCAGAGTGGAAAGACATCAGAGAGGCTTTTCAGGGGAATGGTAGTTAGTGTTTTAGGCATAGTTAATATAAAAGGTGAATGGGAGGGAGCAAGAAGGAGAGAGGGACAGATGACAAGTAGCACTCAGGGGGAAGCAACTCTAAGAGGCTCAAGGCACATTTCTGGATGCCACAATGCCCAGGTATAAATGAAAGCCTTTCCTCATAGTCTTCATTGACAGTTCATTTTCTAGTCCTAGAGAGGAGTTTCCAAACCCCATGAAGAAGTTACCCTTTCAGTTTTGTGCTGGTTTCTGAAAATGACACACACCAAGGGTACAACCACTGCCAGATTAAAAACAACGGCAACAGATCTACCCCCACCATAACTGCCACCGTTAGATACTACAATTGATAGCATCACCACCCAAGGCAGCCACTGACCCATGGCCATCACTGCCCTGGGACAAGAGCTAGCTTTCTGCAGGCAGCTAGGGCAAAGGGACCATGATAAAAACTGCACGTTGCTCACAAAGGTTGCAGTGAGAACAGGCTGGCATTGAAAACAAGATTAAGGGTTAATGCATCAAAGTATGGAGAAGATGAATACAAAGGCTATAGCTGTGTTTAAGACAATCAAGCTAGGTAGAGCAAAGGAGAGACAGAGCTCTGGGCCAGTGATAGCAACCACCTCCCTCCTCTCATCCTAGAACCCTTAAAGAATCAATGTTAAGCACTATTGTTCCTTTATATATTTTTCCTTTTAACATAGCTAATTTTGTGACAAAATAAAATGTAAGTAAAGAGGGCTTATAACATGAAGCTCCTCCTAGGAAAACATTCTAGACTGCTCTACAGACAAGCACTAAATATGAGGGAACAAGAAAAGAACAAGGCTTTGTCTTGGTGGCTGTGATAGAGGTAACTCTGCCAAGGTAAAGCCACAGCCAGGGCTATATAGTAAGACCCCTGTCTCAAAAATAAATAAAAGAACAGAACAGAACACTACCACCCTCTACCACCCAATTAACAGCACTTAAGATATCTATGAGTTCAGAAGGTAGTAATGTTAGCCAAGAGACTCACAGCTAGCGGACAGTCAAAGTTGGCATCAGAGATGGAAGGGGGCGGGCTTTGCCTATCCCTAACTGGATGGGTGGTTCATGAGTAGCGCACCATCATCCAGTTGGATGCAAGAGTGTGTGGCCCCTTTGTTGGCTTGACCCATGATAGTCCAGAGGATTAACCAGTCTCAGTAGAGATTGCCTCAGCCTTTGTCCAGTTTCTGCCATGGACTTATAACACCCCCCAGATGAAGCAAATTTTATATCTTTTTCTTTCCTGGAAACTCCTTCCAAGTCTTGGGAATTTCTCCTAGTTAATTTCTCACTTTCTCAATTGCTGACTTTTTTGTAATAGTTTTAGTAAAGCCTGCAATCTGCTTTGTATTCTACCAGGAAAGATTGTACTATTAATACAATGAACTTGGAACCACTTTTCCACCTTGATCTTTGATGACTGCCAGTGTCTGGCATCTTAGGTCCTTGGATCATGCATAACTGGTCTTTAAAAGTTTCTGTCACACTCCAAAAGGAAACACCACCTCCACAAGCGCCACTATCACAATTATTACTACCAGCATCTAAGGAAATCATTATCAGTACCACTGGCTACCAATCCTACCATCACTGCTAATCATCACCGATGTTTAGGTCTCTGTGACCTCAGCACCATCCCTGTCATCAACACTAGTACCACCATCATCATTCTTGTTTTTAATTTTAAGGACTTACTTTATTTTATATATCTGAATATTTCACCTGCATATATGTCTAGTTACCATGTGCATGCCTGGTGCCTGTGGAGATCAGAGAGAACAGGTCATTGCAGTCACTGGAACTGGAGTTATGGATGGTTTTGAGCCACCAACTGGGTGCAGTGACTTAAACCCCAGTCCTCTGTAAGAGCAATGAGTGCCCTTAAGTGCTAAGCCATCTCTCTAGC